AGTGCAATTGTACGGTAGTTGGAGCATTCTTTGACACTGCTCTTCTTTGGGATTGCCCTTCTAGACTCATCTTTTCCAGTCCTCTGGCCACTGTTGAGTTTTCCAAACTTGCTGGCATATTGAATGTAGCACCTTAACAATGTCATCTTTTAGGATTTTAAAATAGTTCAACTGGAATGCCATCACCTCCACTGGCCTTCTTGTTAGACAAGCTTTCTAAGGCCCACTTGACTTCACTCTCCAGGATGTCTGGCTCAAGGTCAGCAACCACATTATCTGGGTTGTCTGGGATATCCAAATCTTTCTGGTATAATTCCTCTGTGTATTCTTGCCACCTCTTCCTGAAATTACTGTATTAGTATTCTAATGTGAGGGAGAAGGGGTCTAATTTTAACAAGCTGGGAGAAAACAAGGTTTTATCGTTTCACTGAGCTCCTATAGAGTTGTTGTTTTTTTTCATTACGCCATTACAATTCAAGTATTAATTCTAAAGTAAAAATTTGGCAACCCAAAAAGAACACATGTAAAGGGACAATTTAAAAAAAAACATGATACAATAATTGAAATAGAAGAAATAAAGATAAAACAGTATCTAGTTTATTATGTATAGAAAGAGATTTCAGAATTTACAAACACCCACATATTTCATTCCAGGGATTTTTCTGATTTGAAGACTTTGTCCTTTTTCTTCTGCATCTCTCTTCTGCTTCTTCCTACTTTTTTTTCAAATATATATATACAATGGAAGACTTAGATTTATTTTTCTGATTTTTAAAAAGTTCCTGTGCAACCAACAATTTCAAATTCACACTTGCAAATACCATGCACAGTTAAGTTTGCCTTTAAGCCTAAAGTTTTACAGGAAGAGTACAAAAAATTATTTTCTTTTTGAAAGAACTCAGCTCAACTGCAAGGTTTTCTTACAAATGATGGTATCAGTAAAGATGACTGTACAATCCAGATCCATGGGCCACTGATCCATATTATATTATATTCTGAATTACAATCTTAAAAAAGAATAGTACCCTACTCTATTCTTAAATCAACTTGTTTTAAAAGCAGTTTCCCCCACCCTAACCCTCTCTGTTTACAACAGAATATAGTATACCTCAGTTCCACATCAAAAAAGATGTGTTGTAGGAAATGTTACATTTTTAATTAAAAAAGTACATGTATAAATCAAAAACCTATGTTAAATATTTAATACTCTTCAACCAATATTGACAGTTTGTATGTAATAATTTACACTGATGATTTGTCATACATGTCTTTCAGCAGCAAATTAAATTTTTTTAAAAAAAATTATGTAAATGAGCTAGTAGTACGCCCACTTTCACCATCTTACAGTGGTGGGCAATGAGTTCACTGTAGCCAGCTAAGTCTTTATGGTAGAGGAGGAAGTAATTGTAGACTTGCCGTCCAGGGGTCACAGTGCTTTTGCTTGGCACAAAAAAAATTGGGGAAAAAAAGAATGTGCAGTTCAGTCAACTAACTCCTGAGGTTTGTGTAAAGTAAACAAATTGAATTGGATGCATCGTACCCATCTACTAGGGAAGAAAAAGTGAAGTCCTAGCTTTGACACACAAAGCAGTCTGGATACCCATAAGTTCAAAGTAGGCTTTTTCTGAGGTTGTGTAGGTCATCATTCTGAGAAGAGAAGAAAACAGAAAAATGAATAAATACAAATCTGTTATATACAGTAATTTACTGTATAAAAGTAAAACTATACGTATCTATTTATAATTCCTGCAAAAATGATATGCATGGTAGAAATGAGTATTCTTAGTGTGGTGAATGAAATCTGGATAGATACAATTCAAACCACATAGATATACTTTCAGCGCCATAACAACACACTGTCAATACAAGTTGTCCCAATATTAATACACATTTTTATGCACTTAGATACTTGCAACAATGATTCTAGTGAAGAAATGAGGATCAACCTGTTACTATTATTCTAGTATTCTTTGCCCTGTGGGCTGTTTGATCAGCTAAAACAGATGAGGCCAGCTGCAAATTGAGCAGAAGACTGGCAGTAGAAGCTATTTAGCAAACCCCAAACAAATGACAGGAGAGGAGCTGTTCTGGTTATAAATAGCCAGCTTTGCATCTTACAGCTTTTATCTATTGTCAAGAGCCGTACTCCAGGGGATGCCAGAGTTGAAAATAAAGAATTGGAAAAACTAACAACGTACAAAGACCTGACCACTGAAACATCTCACTTGCAGTAAATATTGGATCTTTGGGAACAATATCAAGAAATTTCACACAGTATTATAAGCAGTTGCAAACTTCAGAAATAATACCATCAGAGGTACTAAAAACGGCAATATTAGGAACAGCATAATACTGTGCCAATATTTAACAGATACTTAGGTTCTTGGTTAAAACTTGTATCTGTTATACCAGACAATGTTTTTATAATCTCGATTGACTGTGTCTGGTGTTTTTGAACAACAACAACAGCTTGGAAGGGGTGATTTTGAGGAAACAAATTGCTGGGAAAGAAAGATGTCAATATCCCCTTTGTCTTCTCTGTCTACTCCCACTAGTCCTCTACTCAGCCCAAGGTTTAAGCAATATGTAGCACTCAGCTACTCTTTAATGTGAAGTCTGCTCTTCTTTGGACATTTGCATGTACAGTACCCAACTGTAGCATATGTTTGAATTCTCAAACCAGAATCCTGTTGGTTAGCATAGTAAATTGCACTATACTAGGCCCGCTAAATCAACGGAGATTTGTTGAGTCCACTCAGCCCTATATTCCATCAAGTCAAATGGGTGCACTGTACCAATGACTTAATTTAGTATAGTAAGTCACAGTGACAGTAGCCCATTAGAATCAATGGAACCTATGGAAAAGCTCATTCACTAAATTCCCATTGATTCAATAGGCCGACTCTGATGTAGTTTTCTGCATGAAGCAACAGGGTTTTGATCTCTGGGTTATGAATACCATCTTCAACTGGTTAGATGTTTTATCACTTCTGACTTTTTGTTACCCTACAGCATAGCACATACAGTTTATTTAAACAATGTGAAACCGCAATTAAGAGAAGACCTTTTTGCTTAGTAAGTTTCAAAGCCAAAGACTGTGCATAAATTTTGTAACATTCTTACTACTAAAAAGTGCAAGAAAAATCAGCATTATAATGAAATTACAAGTTTGTGTGTCTGTTGGGTATATTTAAATGGTTCGCTGAAATGATAATTGTCAATTAAATTAAACTGCTTACAAATTTTGATATCTAAGAGAACCTGAATATATTTTTCACATTTGAGACGGTTTGCTCCTACAAGATAATTAAATACTATAATATTTTTCCTTTAATAAATTACTGAGACTTTTCTCAGAGACATAAAAAACTGAAAAGCCTGCCTACCAAAATGTGTGCTCCTTCATGTGATGAGGAAGCCCATCCTAACAAATATGTGGTACAGTGGTGCCCTGCATAGCGAGCGCCTCGGTTAACGACGAATCCGCATAGCAATGCGCTTTATGCGATCGCAAAACCGATCAACGACGAATCCGCATAGCAATGCGCTTTTGCGATCACATTAAGATGTTCTCAATGGCTAAAAATCGCCTTGTGATGATCGGTAAGCGTTTCGCTTACCGATTTTTGCATAGCGATGTTTTGGGAACAGCTGATCGGCGGTTCCAAAATGGCCACCGGAAAAAATGGCCACCCGCAGCGTTTTTGCACCCTTTACTCGCTTACCGGGCAGCGAAAATGGTGGCCGCATGGAGGATTTCCGCATAGTGGTGAGTTTACAGCCCACAGGAACGCATTAAACGTGTTTTAATGCGTTCCTATAGGGTTTTTTGCCCCGCATAGCGACGAATCTGGATAGCAATGATTTTTTTGGAATAGATTATCATCGCTATGCGGGACACCACTGTATATGGTGTAAATTCCCCAAAGTAGCCTGTCTTTTAAACACTCTTCAACCTCTGAACATATTTAGCTAATCTACAGGAACATTTGGAACATTCTAATCAGAATTGCTAGTGAAAATTAACATAGATACACAGATTTAAAATGTCTTGGGCCTAAAATTACACAGCAGTGCTGTAACGTATTAATAGGGCTAGTGACAATGAAAAAACAAGCCTCATTTAAATCATGAAGGACTGAGGCATACAGGATTTGCTTTGGTTTTTATATTTGGCTCTCTTCCAACATGGCCTAACAAACTCCTCACTGCAGGAACAAACTGAAACCCTCAGAAGGGTCACATGCTCTAAGCTGGGAAGCATATACAATCAAAGAAACAGAGGAAAACGTACATTCTTGCTGCATACGTCAAAGCTTGTTGATCTGAGATAACTGGAATAGATGAAAGCAATTTTCCGGTGTCAAGGGGAGCTATCACACTTTAGTTTATGTTTTTGTCATTCATCTTTGCTACTCCAGCAACACTGGGTGAGGAGTGAATGAACTGAGGAAAAGGCAACATCCCTTTAAAACTCTAAATAAAGTTAATATGTTTTTTATTTAGATTTTTTTTAAAAAAAAGTAGTAATGAAGTGTAAGCAGCCATGTAGCAAGCAAGCAAGTCAGTAAATAAATGAACAAACAATGTTTTAAAATTGTAATAATTTATCTCTAGATTTGTCTCTTAATACTGTAAACCACCTTGGATACTTTAGGAGAAAGGCGGCATATAAATGAATGTATGAATAAAACAAGTCTACAATCATTTCTTTAAAAATGTGTCCATTACTCCCTATTCTATTTGAGTTAAATTTTCTTTTGTAGGTAAAAGGGTGGGAGGAGGAAGCAAAAATGTATGACTTTTAGGGTTAATTGTGTTTTATACCATAAGTACTCTTCATTGAAAAAAAAATGATGCAAATAACAATCCTTATGCTAAGAAACTGATGCCAAGTTTATTTCTGCATAAGCATGGGTCCTTTTTAAGAAGAAAGATAGGGTAAAATATTTTAAATCAAAGACATTTCCCTACTGGCAATATAGAATGTTACATGTGAAACCATCATGAACCATCATGCTCTAATCACCATCTGAAACAGTTTACACAGCCCTCTAGAAACCATTAGGAACTAAAGAAAGTATTATTTGAGTAAGATGCTCTCACAATTCACTGCCTTAAAAAGAAGCATAAAACTCAATACTGTTATATTCTCCACACATCATCCCTCAAAATACTGTTATATCCAATACTGTTATATTCTCCACACATCATCCCTCTCTTGCTTTTCCAGGAAGAGACAAAGTGAAAAGTGATACATGTAAGCATACATGTCACAGTACAGTCTTCAGATGATGGCCAAAATTCTGTTTCATAAAGTATGCTGGCATAAGGGAGGTTATGTCACTAAGAGAGGAAGATTGTCACTAATTATAAAGTTCCTGTTCCAATAATGGGGTTTAGATGCCTTGGTGTGCAATCAGTCTAATTGTGCACAAGTAATCCAAATCCTGGGACAGAAACAGGAAACCTTTAATTAGCCACAATGAGATTTTGGCCAATATATACAATCACATTTTGAACGTGGTGGCACTGTGGGCTAAACCGCAGAAGCCTGTGCTGCAGGGACAGAAGACCAAGCAGTCGTAAGATCGAATCCACGCGACAGAGTGAGCGCCTGTCGCTTGTCCCAGCTCCCGCCAACCTAGCGGTTCAAAAGCATGCAAATGCGAGTAGATAAACAGGGACCACCTCGGTGGGAAGATAACAGCGTTCCGTGTCTAAGTCGCACTGGCCATGTGACCATGGAAGATTGTCTTCGGACAAAACGCTGGCTCTATGGCTTGGAAACGGGGATGAGCACCGCCCCCTAGAGTCGAACACAACTGGATAAAAATTGTCAAGGGGTACCTTTACCCTTTACCTAGTGCCCCGACTTACAAACGCCCCTACCTACAAACATATCAACTTACGAACAGCTCTGGTCACAAAATTTTGCTTCAACTTGCGACCGGAGCTTCCACTTACGGACACAAAAAGGCAGGGGAAAAGGGCGGGAAATCCAAATAGCTAACTAGGTGGTGACGAGGCTGCTTCTTTGTAGCTCTTTCACCATGGCAGTTAGAGAGTGTGCGGTCCGAGGAGGCTGCCTGCTAAGGTAAGGTGCTGCTTTATACTTTTAAAAAACTGTTCTGGGTATTTTTGCAGTGTTGTTTTCGGCTAGGGGGGTTATGTTTCTGAGCTGTGATGGGTCTTGGGGGATTGTTTGTTTTTTGGTTCCCCTCCTATTTCTGATGGGGGAAGTTGATTGCTTTTTGGAGTGTTTTTCCCCATTTCTGATGGGTCTTGGGGGCTTTGTTTGTTTTTTGGTTTCTACCCCATTTCCGATAGGTCTTGTGGGGTTTGGTTGCTTTTTGGGGTTCTTTTCCCCATTTTCAATGTGTCTTGCATGCTTCCCTTGCTTTTTGCTTTGTTCTCTCTGCATTTCTGATCTGCTCCGTTTGGTTTTTTGTGCTTTTGCAATGGTTCCTGCATGCTTCCCTTGCTTTTTCCTTTGATTACTGGGCATTTCTGACCTTGTCCCTTTGCTCTCTGTGCATTTCTGATCTGCTCCGTTTGTTTTTTGTACAGGGTTTTTGCAGCTTGAATTTGGACTAGGTGTGTGTGGGGGTTATGTTTCTGTGCTCTGATGGGTCTTGCAGACCCTT